ATAATATATATATATATATATATATATATAAATTCTTGATAAAATATTTTAAGTTCTAAAAATAATTATCATGATCAACAGTGATTTGACCATATATAAAAAAGGATAAAATTTCTATTTAGGAGAGGATTCTCCAACGATCTTGACCGTTGACTGGCGTATATTATATTATAGAGGCCATCTTCCTGAGTAACAAATAAAAGATTTCACCCGTTGTTCGTTATTTATTAAAAAGTAACAAAAGAAAAGAAATTAACAAAAGTTAACAAAAAGAAAAGTTTTTAATAAAAAAAGAAATGTATGGAATATAATTTCTGACACCCTATATAGACTATATGATTTCGTATTACATCGTCTGCATCGTCCATAAGTTGTTTTTGTTCATCTTTTTAAGGTGGATGTGGAATGGCGAGGCTTTGCTTGCAGCCCCGTGACTGAGGGGCTGCGACTCCGGGAACTTCCGATAAAAGACTTCGCCCCTCTGAATCCTTGATTAGTTCCAATTGGGGATCTCAGGAGCGAAACTTTCCGATGGGAAGATTTGGGGGCGCAACCCTCTAGTCGCAAGACTGAGAGGCAAAGCCTCACCATTCCACGTTGCGTCAAATACATTCATCTGAAGACAATAATGAACAATAAAAATTATAAATTCAAAATTTATTGTAATTATCTAATTATAATTATTTTTCTTCTAAATAATTATTTTAATATTTATTTTTTTCTTAAATAATAATATTTATGATTTCAAAACTTGGAGTGAGAGACCCTTAAATTTCTACTAAGGATACTCATAAACCTTTCTCCAACATATTTCAACGTTTTTGAAATTGGTAAGATCGTCAGTATTGTAAATAATTACTCAAACGTTTTTTGTTAATAACTTTTTAATAAACAAAGAACGTTAAAACTTTTCGAAAGTCAGTCAAGGCAATATCCTTGATAACATATTTCAAAATGATTAAGATCAGAATATGGTTCCTATAACTGTATAATTACTTAAATTTTTTATAAGGGAGTGCAGAACGAAAGGCGAAGCAACCTCCGTTGTATGCTGGCTATTTATGTATAACATATATTTATCATGTGACATCTGTATATCGTTTGTTTACTTCTCAAATTCCACTTACACAGTATCGGAAAACGAGAATCTATTTATAAAATTTCTTTCGTTAACAACTTTTTAACAAACAACAAATGACAGATAAAACCTTTTATTTATTACTCGGGAGGATGATCTTTATTATATACGACATATGTCGAGGATACTGGAAAAGCTTTTCCTAAACAGGAATTTTACCTAAAAAAGTTATTCGATTTTAAAAATCAGTCATTCATTGTATTTGTGTAAATTTTTATTTTAAGTTTCTTATTAATTTTAGAGTTTTTATTAGAAACTTTAACACTCCTTGTAAGGAATTAAATAAACTTTTCAGAATTTATCCTTAAGTCCTTAAGTCCTTGGGTCAAAAATTAACAAATGATTTTTGTAGTGACATTATAATTGTTTTAATTGTGTTGGAACTCATTAAAAAAATGTGATAACATTTGTGTGCTTTTCAAAAAAAGCTAAAATTTAGATTGCAACTAATTAATTATAAAGTTGAATGTAAAGTGTAAAACTGAATTGTAAAGTGTAAAGTTGAACACCTTATATTTTTAATGATCCAAAAATATAATCTTTCTACCACTTTAAATAATAATCGTAATAATACACGATAATAATACAAAATAAGCACATGCGTGGTATAGCAGATAGCGCACTAATCTGCTATACTAGAAATCCTGGGTTTGCCTTCCGATAGAACCAAAATATTTTCATACGCTCGTGTCTCTTCTCCCATGGACTGACAAACTATCGAAAGTATCTTTGCTACAAAAATCTCACTACAAAATAATCTGCCGTTCGGAATCAGCGTTAAACTATAGGTCTTATATACTTATAATCTGCATGCGTACCACCAAGTATATGCGAGAAAAGAGATAAGCCCAGGCCTATATACAAAAGATACTACAAAGGTAGTGTCAAAAAGAAGAAGAATAATATAAAATATTAGTAAAAATAAATATTATTATGGGATACAAATGCAGTCACACGAGTAATCATATAAGTGATTAATGAATATCGTGATAATTTTGCTATAAAAGTATCGCAGTAAGAAGATTTGTTCACAAGACGTATGTATCTGGCAATTATCATCCTAGTGAATAACAAGAAACTGTTATCCGTTCATATAAACATTTCTTTATCTTTATGCAAAATATATAATATGCTTGTTTATCATCTTTTAAAATTTTAAAAAGCTTTTAAAATTTGACCAACTATTTGGATAATTCTATATGTCTTTATAAGAAAACTTCAAAACTATTAACATATACATTACATACATATATACAATACATATATATGTAACTTTAAAAATCAAAAAAAGCATAGAGTTAAATCTTTTTGATTATATTAAAACTTCCAATGCTATAATAATTAAAACACACCATCTTAGAATAACTTACATGTACAGTAAAGAGTGATTAATAGCTTACTAGTTTCTATTTTTAAGATATTGTTAGTATATATACATATATGTGTGGGTGAGTAT